CAAGACCGTCTGAAAATTCTGAAATACGACATTAAATATTCTTGTAGAAACTTAACGATCTTATTCATACTTTCGTGAAAAAAGTAAAGTTAAAAATTATACTTAATATACTAGGTATAGTAATTAACATAAAACTATCTTCTTATTTTGCACCTTATAGCAACGTGTAGTTTGTAGTCGGCAAAATGTCTTATTTTTTAATTAAATTAGAGATCGATTTTTTTTTCTTAAAAAAAAAAACGTGTCCCCGCTCTAGGATTATCTCCTGTGTCGTGGATGCGTTTACAAACATACAAGTTCACATGCAGTCAATTGAGATAATCTTATCAATGAAACTCCTTTCTCGTCCATACTTCTAAATCCCCGAACGGATTCCAGTGTTCTCACTCCAGTCACTCCGTTATAGACTTTATTTCCTCTATTTTATCGACTTCATTTTTAGAGATTAATTTAAAAAAAATATTATTTGGTTCCCTTAAATTAAAGGGCTCATTCAATAATGAGCACTGTTTTTATGGAATAACGTAAGAACAAATTCGTGAATTTTTCATATACTTATTCATTTTTTCGTGAAATTTCACACAAGTTTTTCCATATTTATTTATTTATTTATTACACACACAAGTTAACATTACAGGTTTAGGACCCAATGCGATAACAAGGTATTATTAAATCTAGCGACTACTTACACCATATTAAACTTATACTAACTAAATATATTCTTTAGGTTTCCATCAACCAACATTTAAATTCAATTAAATCAAACCTCACTTGGCAGTTTACACATTTAAACCGCAATATAAGCCTTTTAAATAGTTTTCCGTGCCCTTTATGCACTGCGTCTGTCATGAAAGAGAGAGTGCGCCGCGTGCCACGATGACAATATGCCACAGTTTGACCCACAAACGACTATGGTATACGGAAATACGTACGTGTAACAGAAAGGTGCGGTCATTCTTACCCAAGGGTCATTCGATCAGATGATTTTGACATAACCTCGGTGATATGTCAACGGTTAACCTTTTTTTTTGTTATGTCGAACGTTTTGCCAGATGTGTTTTTAATAGGGTACCTACTTGCCAACTACTCAAATTCAGTACTTTTTCCGAACTGTCAAATACGATAGTTTTCTATGAATTTTGTACGAAATTGTGTATTGTGACGTCGCGTCTATTTACCGTCAAACAATATACTTATTTCTTAAAAAAATGCTGAAAAAATACTAAAAATAAGTTGGCCATATTAATTATTATAATCAATTAATGAAAGTGTGATGATTTTTTAATATTTTCTTGTATTAAACAGTCGAATTTATTTATTTTTGATTAATGAAAGTACCCAATTACGTTGAGTAAGTCTCGTGTCACGGTTCTTAATGTCCGTTTAGATTCCTTAAGAAAGAAGTACATACCCTATCTCAGCAACTTGTTTACTAATTGAAGCTTCAAACGCTTATCTATGTGCAAAGTAAGTAGGTATGTATATCTTCACCCACGTCCGTTTCCGCACTTAGTCCAAAGATTACATTTATGTATACATTGACCTCTTAAAATACTTAAAATAAATATGTATAATACACGATAAGCTCGCAGAAATCGAAGCGTATGACTTTATTCTCTTTATGCCGGAATACTGAAACGTTACTCAATTTTAAGTCGTGCTTAAATATCGTGCCATCTCTGTCATTTTACAAAGAATTTGTAGAGACAGAACTATACTTAAGCACGACTTAAAATTGAGTAGCGTTTGAGTATTCCGACATAAGTCTGATAATAAATGATCGTCACTATATCAGCCATAAAAGACGTTTACTGCTGAACATTGGGTCCCCCAAGGACTTCTAGATCGTCAATTGCATCAAACTGTTCCCTGCTACCTTTTTAGGTCGTTGATGTCCCACTATACGAGTCAATGGCAGTACATTCTATCGTCTACAAAAAAAATGTATAGAATTTTCCTGCCACCAAAATAGACATATTTACTTTATATCTCAGAATATAAATAAGAAGAACGTTTTCTAGACTAGCTTTCGTTAACCCCTCGAGCGTCCTTATGAGCACCCGGTGGATCATAAGAAAAAATGTTCCATGCTGCCTTTTCTTTTATAAAATCTATTATTAATGTTTTGTTTTTATTTTGACTGTATTTTTTATTTCTATTGTAATGATCCTTGTTTTCGTGTGCCAATGGCCAAATAAATGCATTTTCTTTCTTTCTTTCTCCAAATGTCACGTGTGCACCCGTTGGATCCTAAGGAACACGGACGCTCGACGGGTTAAAAACAATATAAATCGCAATTAGAGTGGAGTTTATCAAAATAATTACTTATAAATAAATGTAATTAGACCGTCGCGTCGCACCAGCTACACTTACAAAGGTTATCGAACTATTTGCAAGGAAGCTAAACTGTGAAATAATTTCATGATTTTGATAAAGATTTCACCATTTTAACCCATGGAAACCATGATGTTATCAGTTTAATAAGAGCGAATGGTTATTTTTATCAGTGCCAAGCCCCCAACAGATTACGTAGATATTGCCGACCACATATTGAATGTAATAATTCTCACATTATTAGAATTGTTATCATATTGCAAAATAATAATAAGTGTTTTGGGGCCGACGTGTGGAGTATGTGATCACGATTTTAGTTCAGTGCTGATGTTTTTCGCGGGATGTTTTTGTTGCTATTTTATTAGTAACTTGTTATTGTCTTTGTGTGAAGTCTTTCTCTTGTATGTGATGTTTTTATTAATTTTGATTGAGGCTGAAATTTTTATCGTTTTAATCTATAAAAACTCCTTTAATTTGAAATCTTATATATATAAAAGAAAGTCGTGTTAGTTACACTATTTATAACTCAAGAATGGCTAAATCGATTTGGATGAAAATTGGTGGGGAGGTAGCTTAGAACCAGGAAACGGACATAGGATACTTTTTACCCAATTCTTTTTTTTTACTTCTTACCGAAAATCAAGAACGGGAACGGGAAATATCGGGATTGCGCGTACGAAGTCGCGGGCAGAAGCTAGTGATATATAGAACGTAAGAGGTTTCCAAAATAAGATCCAAGTATTTTTTTAAATCAAAACTGTACTTTAAAAGGATTCAGGAAGATTATGGTATCTTTATTGGCATGTTTAGTTACAACTGAGCTGATTACTTTCCACTACTTTTCGTAGAAAACGCTTAATTTAGATATCTATCATGAATCACGTGTGACGCACAGCACGTGGTAAATAATCTACTACAGTTTGTATGCTATTTTATATCCTGGGTTATTTTATTTTTATATTCTTTTATCTAGTCGGCAGTTCAGACAACTGATATACGCCTGTATCTGTATCGTATATAGTACTAAATTATTTTTAAAAGTGTTGTGTTTGTCAACGAATTTCTGTAGAAAGTTGTTATAATTTTTAGCACTTTTATTTTTAGCGGTGACATAGATTTTTTGTATATATGTTGTAACATGCTATGATATCTCTTCGGTCCCTGTAGTTTATACTGAAATACTTACTAAACTACAGTTTCACAGTGTTAGCTAAATTAACTTTACTATTGAAAGCTAGTGGTTTCAAGTTAATAAACGTGTAAATAAACAACCACTCAAACAAGGACCATCAAATAAATATATCCTATGTATAATGTAACGTAGCCGACCTACCAGTAGCGCAATCTAGTGACTACTACGTGGCGGCCACGAACTGGAACGGAGATAATTTTTTTTAGACCGGAGCCGTAACTTCCATTCGCTCCACTAGATGGCACTGTGCCGATGACGCGCATTTCTGAATCGCGGTGTTAAGATTCTCCGCGATTGAACGACCTCCCCGGCACTCGCTGCAAACGGCTAGACCTTACTTCATAGGATCATTTCTATAGTAAGCTCTTCTCGAGACTTTCACACTATGTGAGTCCTCACCAGTCACGTTGATGAGATGTGGCGCGGTGCCCTGAGCGTGAGGCGGGCGGTGGTAGACTTATCATCAGCCCTCGATGATCGTTCACTCCCCTTAACCGGGGAGCGTGGGGTACTGTCGCTGTCTGAGTGGCTATTTTTATAATATTTATATACTTGAAAATAATATTAATCTCACACTGTTATTAGTATGTCCAGATAACAATAATTTTACATGTTATCTGGTGTAACGTAATCACGTACAAACGTACCTTTATAGACTTCATCTTCATCATTATAAATGCTATCATAAAGACATTAATAATAATTTACTATACAAAAAAAAAACAATTTCCGTTCGTTAGTCTCGCTAAAACTCGAGAACGGCTGAACTGATTTGGCTAATTTTGGTATTGAAATGTTCGTGGAAGTCCAGGGAAAGTTTAAAAGGCGAAAAATAGGCATTTTTAGGCGGTACAAATTTGCCGGGTCAGCTTGTAAAGGACTAAAATAGTTACCACGTGGACCTCATAATGAGTGATCCATACAAAAAGATTTCTATTATCGGAATTGTATGAATCAAAGACTATTTATTAATGTAGGTTAATCATCGTTATAAACAAAGTAAAAAGTTTAATAAAATTGTGACTACATTCAGTTTATGGATAATCTCTTCAAAAGTCATTTAGATTTGAATTCAGGCGATAAATACTGAAAACATATGTGTATTTTCCAGTATAAATATGTATAATCATTACAATGAGGTTATAGATTTCGTGTGTCATTTAATGACATACATACATAACATCACGCCTTTTATCCCCGTAGGGGTAGGCAGAGGGGCACATTACGGCACTTAATGCCACTGTACAATGTCTCACCCACCTTTCACTATTTATGTTATGAGTCCCACATAATAGAGGGTGAGCCTATTGCCATATACCGGGCACAATAAATTCCAGACTCCGTGCTATTTTTAAAAACACAGTAGTACATTGCCCCCTTGCCCTTCATTTAATGACTAACAATAAAATAAATTATAACTTCTGTCTAATGGTTCTAATTAATTATTCATACATTCTCAATACTTATTTTCCAGTACCTAAGCGGTGTCCACATACCGGTAGTCCAACATGGCGACAAGTTTGTGGCGGGAGCGGGCGCGGGAGTGACAGCTGTCACTTTGACGTACCCGTTGGACACTATTCGAGCGCGGCTTGCGTTCCAGATCACGGGCGAACACAAGTACAATGGCATCGCGCATGCAGCTACCACCATGTTTAGGACGGTGAGATTTTATAAACATTGTAAATAAACATTTAGATGATCTCAGAAAGATGTGGATTAAAAATGTGATGGGCGATAATATGAATAGCTCAAGACCCATTTGTGAACTTAATTGTTTATGGCACTTAGCATAATAATATAAAAAAAAATATTTTGTAAATTCTATATCTTGCCTGTTAATGTTACAGGAGGGTGGTATCCGAGCCCTGTACCGCGGGTTCGTGCCCACCATGATGGGTATGGTGCCGTACGCCGGCTTCAGCTTCTACTGCTTCGAGTCGCTCAAGTTCTTCTGCATGAAGTACCTGCCCACCACGCTCTGTAGAAAGTGCGAGAGGAATACCGGTGGGTTCCCGAAACTACTGAGCAATCAACGTTGTATCATACCTAAGTTTGGCGACTATAAGTTAGCCTACGCTAGGACAACAGCAAAATGATCACGTACACACGGCCACACATCAATCTATACAAAACCAGTTTATCCTGGTGTCGCGTCGCATCATCTTTCCGCACATTTAACGTTCAGTTGATACTGGTTATGTAAAGCTCGATGTGTAGCCGTGTGTACAAGGGAGTAAGAAGAGAAAAATCCAAAGCCCCCGTCTTGGCCAAAAATGTACGAGAATCGTACCACTTCTCGCACTCAAGTCTCGTATTCGTAGAAAAATAAGTAAAAAATGAAAGAAAATCCCCTATTAAGGGGGGCCGGGAACCCCATGAGCATAGTCAGCCGGTTATGAATGTTATATACTAAACATTATCTAGACTTGATAAAAAACATACTTAACCTCGTTGAGTACCGTCATTATAGACACAATTAAAGAACAATAGGTTGCGGTCACCGGTGTCCTCGCGGTGTTGGACAGTTTAAAATAACCGAAGTACCACAAAAATATCTATATTGAATGCACGACTGCAAACAAATGCATTGCACTTTAATGGCTTCCTTGCTCTGTAACATAAACAAACACACGTTTGTAATTCTACGTACTAGCCATAAGGAAACTGGTATTTCAAACTTGATGGGAATTTTAAAGAACTTAAATAAGACAAGAGTGACTTAGTACAAGGATTCAAGTTCATACCTATCATGGTTTGCATACAAATCTTAACCTGAGTATAATAATTCTGCAGCTTTATAATAGGGTAGTTTCCTAAATATTATTCTAAAGTCCGTCTGGTACATTAATTTAAAACTTTAGACACGTATATTTTTTTTTCTCACAACATTAAATTACTTTCGACGATATATTAATTTGGAATATCCGGAATATTTTGTAGCACGTAATGACGTAACGACCTCCCACTCCTAAACTTAGCGCCATTTTATCTAAGTATTGCAACTTAATACGAGATAATAAAAAAATAGGGACATGTCTAATATTTTTTCATTATTTAACTGACGGACTAATTAGATATTTAATTTTGATACTCTGGAAACTACCCAATTGGAAACAATTGCCAACTAGTCAAATTCAATACTTTTTCGAACTGTCAAAAACGACAGTTTACAGAATTTTGTACGAGATTGTGTATTGTGACGTCACGTTTTTTGACGTCAAACAACATAGGTACTTATTTCTTAAAAAATGGTGGAAAAAATACTAAAATTAAGTTGGTCATATAATCGATTAATGAGAGTATGATTATTTTTAATATTTGATTATATTGAACAGTAGAAATAATTTATTTTTGATTAATAGTACAAGTACCTAATCTGCAGCTCTATAAATTGAGTTGAGTTGAGTTGAGGCTGTGTTCTCCTTGCTACTGACTGAGTTATGTCGACTAATAGACGTCCCTACATAATATTTCGAAATACTACTACTTATATTAGGTAAATTTCAATATTTTCCTCAATTTTTATTCCATTTCATAGCCAAAATGTTTGATAGCGATAAATTTTAAACGGGTAAAGTTAACTCGTGAAGTCGTAAATGAGAAATACCGCATTCGTTCCATTCCGATGGTAATCGTAGATTATGCATGCAATATGCTACCTTCTAACTCATAATCATTGCATTTAAAGGTCGATTAGAGTACCATGGAGTTATTACCAATATAAAGTAAGTGTCATCACTACATATTATAAAACAAAGTCGCTATCCGCCGTCTGTCTGTCCCTATGTATGCTTAGATCTTTAAAGCTACGCAACGGATTTTGATGTGGTTTTTTTAATAGATAGAGTGATTCATAAGAAAGGTTTATATGTATAATACATGCAAAAACCCAGTAATACTTTGTCCGACTCGGGCATCGAACCCCCTATGTAGTCCGCTACATAACCAAGTATGTCCAGTAATGGACTGTTACAGATTGGTGATGTTGATCTTAAAAACTACAATACAATGCCCTATTCAATAATTAGGCAGTTTCTTTATTAACTTATTTCCATGGGTTTATAACATGATTCTAAGTATCTGTTAGGTAATGCAATAATAATAGTTTTTAAATATTAGGGGCCGTTCAAGTATTACGTAAGCAGATTTCTTACCATTTTTTACCCCCCCGCCCCCCTTGTCATAAAAAATAAGCAAAGCACTTACTCCCTCCCCCTATGCTTACGTAAACATTTTTAGTAATAAATGTTTTTTTATATTGTTATTTTTAAAATAGGAAAATTCATGGAAATATTAGGTTTAACTGATACACATAGAGTAAATGACAAAAAATATAATCAGAAATAAAGAACATAACTAACATAAAGAATATTTTCGGAATACATTAACAGTCTTCAGTCCATGAAACCTGAATCCATGATTCTAAGTTATCGATGACATTGGATTGCTGCTCAGTGTTGTGAGTCTGCTCATTTTCATCCGATTTTGTCCCAGTATGAGATTTTTTAAAACTTTCGAACAGCTTTTGGTATAACTTGGATTTGTCTATATGATATGACATTCTAATAAGATATTTAAATTTAAATAATCAAAACGTTAAACTTTGGCTAATTGCATCAACATAACCACAAATGATAACTTTCAATGCTTACAATACGTTTAGAATCCAAACAAAACAATACTGATAGATGCGCACTTGCAGCTGGCCGGCACGAGAGCGAATTATTAGACAAGTGAATAGCGCACGGTAATTTCCCTAATGCGCGGTAATCCCCCTAATCAGTTCTCAAAGCGAGTGCCTACGCATATGTATTATTTGCGGGAATCCCCGAAAAAACTTGAATAACTAACGATGACGTAATCATCATCTAGACCCCCTCACCCCCCATGTCATCCATAATAAGCAAAACAGAGACCCCCCCACCCCCCCTTGGTGCTTACGTAATACTTGAACGGCCCCTAAGCTGATTTTATGATAAATACCTAAGTATTTTCCTGTTAGCTACTTACGAAGCAGTCCGTGCTTAAAGGACGCATACATAAATATTTAAATTATTACCTACTTAAACAAAAATCACATAAAATAATATTAATTTTCCATTTTACGAAATACAAATCATAAATACAGGTTTCTTTTATACCTACTTAATACAGATTTATATGTAAAATTCCATCCAAAGGTTTTCTGGAAGAAATATCCTTGAATGACAAGACAACTATTGGAATCAAAACAGTATTACAGTGTAATAAGTTTCTGTGTGTGCAATCTTTATATATATATTATAATTCTTCTGTGAGTGTGTATGTCACTGAACTTCTCTCAAACGACTGGACCGATTTTGATGAAATTTTTTGTGTGTGTTCAAGGGAATCTGGGAATGGTTTAGATTCACAAATCAGCCCGGCAGATGGCGCTGCAGTCGCTGTTTAGGTTATTTATCCTAAACAGCTGAACTACTTAATTTGAATTAATTTTTGTTTATACATTCAAGTGGATATGCAGGACAACGTCTGTTGGGTCCGCTAGTAAAGTATAAAATAAATGAATCCAAAAATTGTATATTTCAGGAGGTCTAGTGCTAACAGTGCCCGGCAAGTTGGTGTGTGGCGGGCTGGCGGGCGCGGTGGCCCAGTCCGTGTCGTACCCGCTCGACGTGACGCGGCGTCGCATGCAGCTCGCCTGCATGGACGCGCACACCGCCAAGTTTGGGTATGACAGAACATTATTTTTTTGCTACATGTTTCACGTAAAATGGCCACTCTAATACATACAGACATACATAACTTCACGCCTGTCTCCCATGGGGGTAGGCGGAGACTAGGGAACGCCAATTACTACGATTCCCACATACCTCTTTCGCTTCATCAACAGTCATCAATCTTTTCATGAATGCTCGTCGGTTAAGGGTACTTTTAATTTGGCCCTTCTTTAATATATCGCCAATCTGGTCACTATATTATGTCCGTCTAGGGCCCCCTCTACCAACGGCCCCATTAATATCCGCTCTGTATACTTCTTTCCTTACTCTACTTTAATCCATCCTTTCTACATGTCCAAACTAGCGTAACATTCCCTTTTAAATCCTTGTCACTACATCATCTTTCAATCCTTTATTCACTGTTTCAATGTAATGTAATTATAAATAAAGCTCATTGTAATTTAAGCTATGACAGTTGTGGGCTAAATTTCTTAATTTAAAGATTCTGACTGAACATGACACAGAATTTATGAAGTAAAGAACCTCATACCCTGCGACATAATAGACTATTTAAGCTCATTTCATCTGGCTCCAATGGATTTTTATTTCACTTGATAATTAGACTACTTATAGGCTTAACCCACGATGAAAGTGCACGCATATAGGTACTTTACACAAAACATTTCACTTAGTCTAAATACAAGTTCGCATATGGGACTGCGAGACGCATACTATAAAATGCATTTTTAATCAAATCCGAATATTTCATTGTATGAAGTCTGTTGCATTCATACCCTGCAACTACATCACTATTCCACCATCTTGTTTTCTAATATTACATCTGAATGCTTAAACGTCAACTCACCCAGGCGGGAGCAGACATTCGATGATTTTCCCCCCTTAAAAAAAGCTAGTAATATTTATAACAGATACATTAATGATGTTTGATGAGTATTTGGGCGTATGTAGAGTGGCCATTTTTTCTGAGATAGTATCGTATTCATATTGGCACTACTAAATTCTTACTTCAAACTTTATTATGTTAATTATATTACAAAAATTATGCCTCATGATTACCTTCTTTAATAACGAATCATTTAGTCTGTATTAACCTACCTGTTCATGTATAAACACTATATTACTATGGAATCCATCCACATACTATGCACAATAATAACTATGCATAGTCTAAAGCACGGCACTGAGTAACTTCAAAAACTTACCTTATTTCAAAGCTAATAAGAAGTATATTTCCATTTTAAGTTATGCCACTGCAATGCTAGACTATAATATTATTGCACTATTCCTTAAAATATTAAATTCTATTTCTTACATGTATGAGCCACCGAGACAAATGAAAAATATGCAATAAGAAATCTTATTTTAACAAAACACAGAGTTGATTTTTCTTTGTTATTGAATTTTTGGAGAATTTTATTACAAGTCTTTTCATTGCATATTTTTAATTTTATCTCGTTGGCAACACTGTCAATATAACGGTTCTATTCCTAACTAATGCAGCGATATTTCTGATTGCATGGTATTTACACGTGGTGTTGGCAACACTTGCAGGAGGTTGGTTGTTCACATTTTTGTATATTTTATTTTTAAGTTTTTTTTTCTAGGAATTTGTCTACATGCTAACTGTTATCTAATTAACATAAATTTACTAACTTTATCTTGGTTCTTTGAAAATTCGATAAACATAACATTTCTTCAGATGTTTTGAGAGTTCTGGTTGTGACACTAATAAGATTTTGAATAGGTGCTGTATGAGATTTCGGAATCGAAAAGCCCATGTGTTGACTAGCTCGAAATTCAAATTATACCTGCAGTACAATAACAATATTTCAAAGTAAATAAGCAAGAGAGCGCTTTATATATCATAAACAGCTTTTATATATTTCCTTTTCTATCCCACTCTAAATAATGCTGAATCTTACTTAGACAAAACAGAGGCGAGTTTGTTTTACGTTTAAAGTATTCGAAACGAGAACGCGTTCGGCGCACTGATTGGCCGGCGCCAATGAACCAACCAATCAGAGCGCCGAACGCGTACTCGTTACGATTACTTTAAACGTAAAAGAAACTCGTACTAAAGCCTCTGACAAACTTACTTAAAATTTAACAGTCTTGAAAACTAGATTTCTTTTTCTTTGAGCTAACTTTTGAACTTATTTTCTTCTATTTAAACCTAAACCTCAAAAAGAATGAGAGAATAGGTTGCTTATGATCAGGCGTGCTCCATTGTAGACCGTATCATCGCTTACCACCAGGCGAGATAATAGTCAATCGGCTAGACAGCTCATTGCGAATGAAAAAGAACAGTACTAAAATTCAACTAATCAATTTTTTTAAATTCCAGCATTGGCATGGTCAAGACGTTGACCCTCATATACCGTGAGAACGGCATAGTGAAGGGTCTGTACCGCGGTATGAGCATCAACTACATCCGAGCGATACCAATGGTCGCCACTTCATTCTCCACTTACGAACTCATGAAACAATTACTACAACTCGACACAGGAATGATGGTATCGTAACTTTAGTAAAGAAAGATGACTATTTTCTTTTTATTGTAATTTCGTTTGGACGTATTAATGTTGAACACGTATTTTTTACTTTTGAAAGTCAATGTTCAGGTGATGATGACGATTATGGCTATTTGTGGCAATAATGTATGAATATTATTATTTCCTTTATTTATTTCTATGCTTGACTTATATATTTTTAAATATTTGATTATGTAAAAAAAACATTTAAAAATATAAAAAGCAGTAGCCCACCAGTAACGAGAGAAATCTAAGCTACCGGTGGTCAGGGCTCCAGAGAAAGGAATTTCCGGACAATACGCGCCGTGTCCAGAAGTACTTTCTGCATCAGGCCCTTGACCCAACCATCCAACGCTAGCTTATTCAGATGTTGGTCGAGGCTTTAGCAATGAGGCCATTGAATATTATTGTTATGACCTTTTTTAATGTAGGAAATGTACGTAATAATAATTTAGATGTGACGTAGGATTCCCCACTCCTGAATATAAAATCGGTACATTTATTCTAAATAAAAAAATACGTGTTCAATATTTTTAACTCCTTTTCAAACTATTCAAATTGGAGGCAAAGGAAGTCTAATTTTTATGTAGTAATCGAAATTGTTTAGCGCAAATTACGTTAACATTCTGAAAAGTACTCGATTCGAAATTGTTGTATTTTTACATCTAATTCTATTCGTTGTTGTTGACGATTGTTGTATTGTAAGTTAGAGCTCGTTATTAAATAGGGTTGCTGAATAATTATATTTATTTTTATTAGGAAAAAGTACATAACACTCCTTTTGTGTTATAAGAAAGTCTTTTTGTTTAAAGTTGGGATCTGTCTATGGTCATTAGATAGAAAACCTTAGTTATTCAGCCATACGAATATTATATTTTATTCTTTTCAACAGGGATGATATTTTTAAATGAAGAGTAACAAGAGAATTAATTATGGCTTTTAAATACAAGCGTGTCTCCTAGCCAATACGCAAAGATGGAATCCTTTTTTTGTAAGTGAAGATAAAAAGAAATATATTTACAATCAAGGATAATTAGTTACTTTTTTTATAACATGTAAACATTTATTAATCTTTTTTTTTTTGTTAACCCATTTGACAGATCCCAATTTTTTTTATGGCAACATAATGCACAAGTTCACGATTTTCGTTTAATATATTAATAATGAAATACAAAGTGAATTTGCGCACACTATTCTCTTCTCTGTACTTACTTATATAAATATCAGTATTTGAAAGTTGTAATGCTCACTATTATTTGTATTTTTAAATACCAATGTGTAGGTTAATAGTGTAGTACATTGTCATTTCCAAGTTAATATTTAGTAGGTAGATGTAATTATTTCCAGTTTCTGTTATGCTTTATGCTATGGTTACAGTAATTTTAATTTATAAAATGGTATAATGTCTCTGGAGGCTGGATTTTCAGCTACGGGCCATAGACTATTGTGCTGCCACCTGTGTGCCCAAAAATGTGCTTTAGCGATTTTAGCAGGTTCAGTAAGAATAGGTCAGAATCGTGTGCCGGGATTTAACTGAACACGCAAATCTAGGTTCTTTTTGGGAAGCTGTTGGCTTACCAGGCTTTTAGTGCCTGTTTGTTTAGTACTTATTATGAGTGCAGGTCTTTGGTCTTGTCATTAGAAGCAGTAGATAATTGTATCGTCCTGTATATGGTTGTATTTCCACTTATTCCCTTATGGATATAATCCAGTTTCCGATCAATTAAATACGCAACGAGCTACGTCTCATCAATTAATATTTGTATGACAATAAGTAGGTTTATTGAGGGACCCTGAATAAATTGGGTAGGAGCAAAAGAAATAGGTTTAAAAAAGACAAAGTAAGTATTAAGTCCGTGCCTTTCGCTGCTTTTCACAAAGTATCTTAAGAATTTTATCAATCCATTCGGTCTTTATGGAAATTGCTACACCGTATATTTGCTTCTTTTAAAAAAAAATTATTGAATTGGTCTAAATTACCGACAAGAAGCCGGCAAATATAACCAACCAATGTATTACTGATAGCTAACAAAGCATGGTTGTGAAAAAAAGGCCAGAATACCCAGCAGACTATTTTTATACTAATAATTATTTGACAGCTAAATAGCTTTAAAAAGGTGTTGTATCAGGAACAGGGTGACAAGGCTAGTATATAAGACGATTCATTCCACATATTTGTGATGTCTTCTATGTATAACTTGTGTTACTTCTTTAGGTCCTATCGCACATTTACTGTGAAACAGTTTAGACAAGTACCTCAGTTTTATTCCAATTTTTGTTTAGCTTAAAGCTTCTTCGCGAGATTACTGTTTGTATTGTCTAGAATAGAATGTATTGGTACACACAGCAATGCTGTCGCACCAAAGATGCAATTAAAACTCAAGGCAGTAGAAATATAATTAATATAATAGGTACATGTAAGAAACACTGGACAGAAGGATATTATAAAATGTATATATATCTCTACAATGTATAAAGTACATAAATAAAATAATAAAACAATGTGTATCTACTACATTATAATAAATTATTTTCATGTAATTTTGAGTTTTACTTGTGATTTGGAATGGTGAAAGAAAACCCCTCATTTTATAATTAATTTTATTTATTTATATCTAATTCCTATCAACAGGCATAGTACACGTTGCAAGAATAATTATTTTATCGTACTGTGTTTACATTTGAAATTATTGCCATTGTGTAGCGGATCCAGTCGGAAGTAAGTCTGTAATCGGCGCATCATCAATAGTATAGAGTCCCATTTATACATCAACACACTATGCATACAAAAGGTCAACGTCGTTCCCTCAACATCTTGTGAATGTCGATCGCCTATGCAGTTTGCCAGGAAAGCCTTAATTTTAATTTTACACGAGCTTCGATTGGGTGAAATAATGCCAAAAGCAGAGAAAACAAACTTGTGCTACAATTATTGTTTTATTTCACGCGAACGAGGCTCGACATACATTCTCATTTTTTTGTTATTTTTTTTCTTTAAGGATATTATATTTTATTTTATCTATAACTTACATACTTAATACTTAGATCAACGAAACGTGTGGCTTCAGGTGTCATTGGTGGGTAAGGTCTTTGTATAATTAGTACGCACGCGTTTAATTTAGGAAATAAAAATAATATTACAATATTTTAAAAATCTGAAATTTTATTTTTAAATGAAAGATGGCACTGACAAAAGAATATGTCCACTGTTCAGATTCTAAAATAAGTACACGTTTTCTACATGGAAAATGGAATATAAAAATTGCTTTTGTCAGTTATTCTATAAATAGAAAATAAAATGCTTGTATAAGGAAACCAGGGCTTCTTAGTGAGTATGTAATCTTAAAAACATGCTGTAACACTTTCAATATAACCCCCTGTTATAAATTTCTATCCTAAGATGTTATAAAACAATTTCCCAGTTCGCAATGATCTCATATAAAATTGTTATTAATATTTATTTTAGTTACTTACCATCTTTACGAAATGAGTACATTAATGGGAAAATATTCGACACTTAGTATAAACAATAACAACCTATCGGGTGCCTTGATCTTTAGGTATTTACACAATTACCTAAAATTATTTTATAATCAAATATAGAACAAATAAAGAGTAAAAAGAAATTAAAGCTCCACTCTTGTGAAACACTATTCCATGTCATACAGGTACTGTGGCACAAGAAAAGGAGAATTTTGAATAATTAAATCTCAAAATGCACTCGTTCTCTCTAGACATTTTATGACAGAATGATTGCACTGGGGTACATAAACAATAACGCTTCCTAATACTTGTATACGCAGACTTACAGCCGAACTAAAGATATTACGAATAATATAATTAAATAATTACATAATGCCATTCTGTCATAAAACTAAATGCTTGCTATTGCTTTGTAGACCTCGACAGATCAATACCCCCGCAGTATGTCTATGTAATGTAAATATCAAATTGTAAAAAAATCTTTAAATATTTCATTTGTAAAGCAACTAAAAATACAAAATTATAAGATGCACTTCAACAGATTTTGATCTACAGTAACTTAACATGAAAAACATCATATTTGCTAGATTGACAATAATCATGTTGTTTCACTAATTTATAAGTTCCATTACTGCACATTAGATGTAAGATCATAAGCTTTATGGGAATCCAATACGGCGCACATTTAGTCACCAAAGATTAGATTATGGTGGTATGTCCATAGGTAACCTGGCGATCGATGGTGACACGAGACACGAGACGAACGCAAAATAAAACTACCGTTTTAGTAAATGTACGTGTTTAATGAGGTCCAATCGTCTTCGATACAGCAATGTATTGTGTAAATCATAATGGGAGGTCGTCGCGCTCCTTCCGGCCGCAGGACATGAACATACCAGCATAACTAGCGCGGAGCGAATGCACAGTGAACGGCAAGAACCTAAGTTGCGATGGTGACGAGCACTTACACGCGGGCGCGGGCCGGCCGCTACACGTGCGCCAGCCAGTGCGCCACGCGGAGCAAGCTGTCGAGGCTGGCGCGGCGCGAGCGGCGCGGCTGCTGGCCTGCGAGCCCCGCCAGCCCCGCCAGGCGCGCCGGCCCGAGCCCCGCCAGCCCCGCCGCACGCGCCGGGTCAAGCCCCGCCAGTGCCGCCGCGCGCGCCAGCCTGCGCCTGGTACGCAGACGCCGGCCGCCCGTGCACGCGTCCCCAGCCGAGCCCGCCGTCGCCGCACCATCGGAGCTCCGCGCACTCGCCGCCCGCTTGATATGCGCCTTCTCTGCAATAAGAACAGTACTTGCTTACCATCAACTACTCCGAAGAACTAGCTAATCAGCTAATGCATATAATCAGGCTGAGTGGAGAGGAAAAGGATATTTGTGATGTGTTAATGTCTGATTAGGAAGAATGAAAGAAGATAATTTTACTGAGGCAACTTAGGTAAAGGTCAGCTGTTCCCAGACTTATTATAAAAATAATAAGATGATACTTACGTGCAGCCTACATGAAGTAATCTGGCGTCCGTCGCGTAACGTGCGGCTCGCCACGTCGTGGGGCCGGATCGAACTGAAGGCTATAAAACAAAATCCATTGTAGTCAAACAAGCATAAAGTCTACATTCGTTAAATGATTATTTCACTGTAAGGTCATATTTTCCATTATCCATAGTACAGAATCGAACTTGTCGATTTAATAATTTGATGTTGAATATCAAATTTTTGTCATCACTTTGCGCTGATAATCATTCCAAACCCTACGTCTACTATTTGACATACTGACATGGAACACTTTAACATAATCATCTGTCTTTTACTGATAAAGTTAATAAAGAACGCATGTTTTATGTTATCAAAACACAATTTGACAACATCATGTTAATGTAAAACTTATGAAGGATGATGAATAACAACTGAAGGTTGGAACCATCTCATTGTCGCAAGGTCAAGTACTTGCTCGTGAATCACGGACGCCTTGAGGCAGGGAAGCCCTACTTGCCCTCTAAAAATACTCCACTTACACTAAGTAGGAATATGTGAGGATTATTTTGTTCTAGAATCGTCTACATGCACGTTTTACATAATAAGATATCGTAGATAATCTTGTACACAGTGGAAAACTAAAGTAGAGACTGTTGCGAACGTCATGTTTATACATGGGTGGATTGTTTACAAAATGTATGAAATAAGACTATATTTGTTACAATACGACGGCTCATTGAACTTTTTAACTATTTGCGTCTGCAATACTGTTGAAATGGAGTCAGTAAATGTAGTAAAATATGGTTTTTAATACTTACAATGAGTACTTAAGCGCATCATCCAATTCCATAATGGCGGCTTGGTTACCGCATCTGTAACAATAAATGTTTACGTTGTATTATGTTGCCTAACAGCATATTGTTGGTCGCTTGCTTATCTAATCGAATTATATCGGCTTGATGAGATTAGACAGTGCTGACGGGAACTTTCTCCTGCTATTTTCGTTAAGATTCATGTTCGAATATCTTGAAATAAGATAATGGCTTACTTTCTATAAAATCATAGGTACACATTGCTATATTTTTGTCGCATTTCTCTCCTCTCATTTGACAAAAATGTTTTACGTATTTAAAACGGTAATTAATTTATCAAACACACATGTATACATTGTATTACGTATTACGATAAATGCAAAAAGTTCTATAAATAAATTATATAATTGAGCCATACGGATTTTATGTAATTTAGGCTTATCGGCGGAATATTTTAGCCTATTACATAAAAACAACGATTAGGTACTTTTCAGAGAATATTTGATTATTATGACGAATAATAACAACACGCCTTTCTTTCTTTAAACGCGTAGGCAGAGGTATAGTGTAAAAATTATGCAAATTATGTATTTGATGTATTCTTGACATAGAAATCCAAATATCACATCTACACAGTCGGCTTAAGACCATTAGAAAAGAAAACAGTTATTTTACGACCATTTTAGAGGTAAAACAAACAAATGCGAGTTTTAAAGTTTTGTCAAGAACATACCGCACTTTAGTGCATAATATGTAATGAAGGACTTATGCTAAACAGTCAATTTCGTTCATTGTTAAGCTTGAAGCGACCTCATTGGCGAATTATGTTGGTGTACCGTTCTTAAGTCTGTGAATACGTTTAATAATTACGTTGGAACCAACATTTGTTGCTATATTGGCCAAATGACCAATATTCTTTGAGTTGGCTTGTTATGTCTAAGCGTTTATCATTTCAAACTCAAGGTTCTTTGGTGACCCAAAATATGTATTGTGTATTCAATGCTGTTATAAGTTTACGATGCAGTTACAACGTAAAATGGTAATAATTTTAAAAACTGTCCAGAGATTACACATTATTGTTGAGGAAAACAATGTTTGCTATGATTCATAAAAGTCTCTTTACTTTTTATAAAACTCTGTGTGCTGAATTTTTGAGATTGTGATAGCATATCTATCTTAACATTTTTGGTCTTCTAGAATAATGAAAACGAGCATTATAAGAGTAGATATGTACGACACCTACCCTATTTGTTGTCCTCTCAAATTGTGAAGATTGTTTTAGTTAGAATCATCAATATTCTAATACAATTGTTTCAGGATAATGTCACCGTTTATGTTAATCAAAATCACAATTTGAGTTTACTCAAGGAGTACCTATGCGTCAAAAATAATTATGTAATGCCTTCGACAATTTCTGTTTGAGTTTTCTGAAATATCAAGGTTCTTGTACTTACCTATAGCAGTAATTGGGTGCTGAGAATATAGTGACGACGTTTCTATCGTGGCACCAGTTGTAGCCCTCCATGACGAGCTGATGGGCCCTGGAGACGAGTGTCAGCCCGTTGCTGTGGTTGAACGTCTCCGATATATCCTGGCCGAAAGTGTAGCCGGCACCACGCGGCGATATTCCCCATCCGCCTCTGTTACAAACAAATACATTTAAAATTAATACTTTGAAAAACTATTTAACGAGGTAACACAACCGCTCATAGATATGGGCAGCAACTTATAATATGTGTAAATAACAAATATCAAACTAAACAAAAACTACGCATCGTTTTTGCATCCCTTTTTTTATCCGTTCGTTTAAGGGTTTTGTTTTTAAATCTGTTTATAATACAAATGGCAACTATCCTACTGATACGCAAAGGCCTCTTTTCATATAAAAAGGAATAAGCGTTTGTTCAAGGCGGACTATTTATATGCTACTTTAAACTTACTCGTTTCGAATACAAAAGGAAATTAATGTCTAGATTCAATCTTTGGTCTGACGCAATTGAGGTCACACTAGCAATTTCTTTAAACATCGACTGACGAAATAGGTCACTCGGAATAATCAAGTCAACTATGAAATAATGTGCACACTTTAATGAACTAAATTGTATACAAATGCACAACTTTAATGTGGTAAATTCACAGAGAATTTCGACGTACCTACCAGAATTTTCCATGAGTTTAAATAGAAATGGTATTCTCCTACAAGCTACAAGAATTGTAGTTCATACTAAACTGACTACTAACTAAGCAAAAACTAAATAAAGAAAATTAGTTCATTCCCGAATGAAGCCCCATAACTTTTAACCACAATAAATTTCAATTTACTTGTTCAACAAATTAGAAAAAAACCGACTGCAATTCTAGCTAGCTCGACTGGTAAGGTGATGATGCAATAGCAAATTAAACAACTGTTTAGCACCTTAATGTCGATTCTATTAGACCTTGCAGAGCTAAGCCACTATTTTATTTTGCAAATCACTTACAGCTACAGCACTACATATGAATGAAAATTAAAGACACGATTAAATCATCAGTTTGCAATTAACCAAAAACATAATAATCAAGTCTATTTCTAGCCTGCAATACTTGTTTCACATGAACTCAGTACCTGATAGCTGACTCAAATGAAAGTCATTCAACGCTACATCACCCCACTTAACAAACAACGACGATAACAAACTATTTCCCTTCATAAACACTTTATAATTAGTCAATATATTTATTAATTATCTTTCCGGAACTCGAGCGCCCGGTCAACCGATTACTCGGCGCTCGGTAGCTCCCAGACATTCGTGTAACAAATATCAAAGTCGTCGTAAGTAGCAGTTATCAGGGGATCTCACAAGACCAAGGTCGGACACCGAATTAACATGCACACAATATTAAAATGTAGTTAAGTATGTACCTATTTGATATCGTAAAATCAATAATATAACCTAGTTAATGTCACCCACTGATGGAGATAACGCTTAGGACGCGCCGCGTCGCGGCAGCGGCACTATAATTAGTACGCGGATGACACGTTGTCCGTCCTTGACCTCTTGAGGTGTTTATTGTTGCACACATATTTATATTTTTGTTATCGGATGCACGAGTCTCCCTCACGCATGAGCGCCGCATTCGATGATCTCACAGAACTTCGAAATTACGTAAAACGCAATGACCTTAAGTGAACTTTTACGATGTGGCATTCAGCTGTGCGGCTGTGTGACACGTAAGCACTAGGTAATTGTTTGTAATCGTAAGGTTTCATGAGGATTTCCTGTTACGCATCCTTTACTTTGAAACACAATTTGTGTGGTATTATAAAAATATTTATAGTATTACGTCAAGGAATTATAAAGTTTACTTAGTTCGGTGACTAAGACAAAAATATTTATAGTTCATACAATGTGATGTTATACGCCGTTGTCTTGTGAACACCTAAAGTTATATAAAGAGAAGTAAGACGAAAAGTGTATGGATTCCAAGTTCACAACATACTAGCCACTTACACGAGTATTTATGCAGACGTTAGAGCTACAATGACACGGCAGATTTTCAACAATATCCCACTTTGTATACAAAAACCAATAGCTAATGTGATTCAATCGAGATAAGATATTTGTGTGCAGTGCGAACGTCATCAATCTTGTCAAAGTCACCTATTTGTTTGTACTGACCTGTCATCAGGATCGCTCCAGAGCAGATCGCACATGGGACCTTCATGAGGCACCTCCTGCAGGCGGTCGAGGGCGCGGATGTGGTCCAGGGTATCGATGGAGGGGCTGAGACCACCGTGCAGGCAGAAGATCTGGCCGTCGACCAGCGCGGTGAGGGGCAGGAAGTCGAACAAGTCGGTGAAGTGCTTCCATACGGACGCATTGCCGTATTTACGGAGGCATTCGTCGTAGAAACCGTACACCTGAGTGATCTGCCTCGACTCGTGGTTTCCACGGAGGATTGTTATTCTCTCGCGGTATCGAACCTGTAAACGATGTTGTTGACTAATTAGTACAAAGTCAATCATTTTTATAACATAACATGCATATACAACTGACTATTGGCCAAAATGGTAGTCAAATCTTTTATCTTTTTTTAAATCTACACTTTACTTTAAAAAATACTAATCACTATGTAGGCGCCTGTCCAATATAACAGGTGATAGATCTAAATAAAATTCCAGACATTGTAATACAATAATTCTTAACTCGGCCGTGGCGAAATCCAGGACATGTGCGGATCTGTTCAACAATTGTACTTGAAATTAACGTACAAATACTTTGTAGCCAGCCGTGCTACTTTACATGAAGAATTTGGGTGATACGTTTTTTAAATGTAGGTACTAACGTTCCATGTAGTAGCACAGTTTCTATTGGAAAGTAAAACAGTTCCATATCCAACCTCGTAATCGTACAAAATAGTTTTGCCCTTGTAGTCACGAAAGGCGACTAATTTCTATAAACACGTAATTACACCTTTTCAATGTAAATTCTGAAAACTCGATACAGTAATAGTCTAAGATCCGGCTGCAGAATCAGTGTACCCATCGAGTGTTTGCTGAAAACCAAATTTTTACACATATTCATGATTAGGAGAATTTATATCCACCAGGTTGCCTATCAAAATGTGGCCGCTAGTATTTTTAATTAAATTATTAATAATTCATAATCCGTAAGAAATTTCACTGACTTTTTTTTTCAATGAAATGTCGTCTACTTCACGGCAACATCTATAAAGACTCTGAAAAATTATGGTTGCCGTTGCGCACTTGGCCGCACCTCTTCGCAGCCAGGTATACACAGGTATGAATTTGTTACATTTATACACCCACAACGTACATTTATAATTTATATATCAAATTAAAGCAAATTTTTTTCTGTATATTATTATATACGGTTGCTTAATTAAATCTGGCCGCCAATAAGGGTTGCTGGCTAATAAATATAGTAAATACTAGCTTTTACCCGCGGCTTCGCTCGCGTCACAAAAGGATAAAAAGTAGCCTATGTGACTTATGCCAATACATACAGCGCCATCTATACCAATACTTTTGTTTTCCCTCGGGAATACCAAATTTTTTCGGGATAAAAAATACCCTATTATTTAATCCGGACTTCTAACTTTACGTCTGCAAAAATTCAAAGCAATCGGTTTAGTAGTTACGGCGTGAAGGTGGAACAAACAAACAAACAAACAAACTCACTTTCAGATTTATAATATTATAGTAAGGATAGTAAGGATTAAAAGTAGAGTGAAAGAGAGCTAGCGCGTAACACCACTAGTCACTAGGTACGACTCAAAATAATAAATACTCCAAAAGAAACGTCTTTCTTTTCTAAAATAAAAAATTAAAAAGTCAACGACAAATTTAAAAATTACAAAAAAAAAAATGAATATTGATGATAAATAAAATCAAGGTTACTTATGTAAAAAAATTGTGTTGTACAAGTACTGTATGAAAAAAGATTTAATTTTATTCAAGTATTACATTTATTTTACATATTCATCAATCATCAGTTTTACCTTCAAGCGGGCGCGTAGTCATTTATAACGGGAGCAGGCGCGCGTAACCGAAAAGACCTATGGGATTAATAAGAGAAATAAAGCACTAATTATTCAATATTTATTTATTTATTTGTACTCAGATTTATTATCATTGTCTTTAAATCGTAATTTGTCAAAAAAGTAATTATTTTCATGAAAATTATTTTTCATTTATTTTTTTTTGTCGCACAGGAAACACGCCTTCATCCTTATAAATTTTATTTCACTTAAATGAGATTGATAATTTTTCGATGCACAAATAAAACAGCAATTTTTTTTTGATCCGTTGACAACACTAACATCTGACGCATGCGCAATGGCTTTAAACCGTCTGACAGCTGGCAATCGCTATCCTCGTCTGACTAGTGGTGTTACGCGCTAGCTCTCTTTCACTCTACTTTTAATATTTACTATATTTATTAGCCAGCAACCCTTATTGGCGGCCAGATTTAATTAAGCAACCGTATATAATAATATACAGAAAAAAATTTGCTTTAATTTGATATATAAATTATAAATGTACGTTGTGGGTGTATACATGTAACAAATTCATACCTGTGTATACCTGGCTGCGAAGAGGTGCGGCCAGGTGCGCAACGGCAACCATAATTTTTCAGAGTCTTTATAGATGTTGCCGTGAAGTAGACGACATTTCATTGAAAAAAAAAGTCAGTGAAATTTCTTACGGATTATGAATTATTAATAATTTAATTAAAAATACTAGCGGCCACATTTTGATAGGCAACCTGGTGGATATAAATTCTCCTAATCATGAATATGTGTAAAAATTTGGTTTTCAGCAAACACTCGATGGGTACACTGATTCTGCAGCCGGATCTCGTACTATAATACGAATAGCAATTTTTATTACTTTGTTTTGTACATTTTTAAGGCGATTATGTATTGTTTTTGTAGAGGTAGGAATCATATTCAAATATTTAACGAAAATGTGACATTAATGCTTAGGAGCGTTGCACCGTATCACAGTGTGGTATTTGAACGATCTGGGAGGCAATAAGTCCATTAATTTGACTTGACCGTTATTCGAAGCTTATTTAATTGAGATAGGCCTTCTGCTTCCCTCCTTCCGCTTTTTCTATATGTCTATCTCTTTCTACTACGTCACTTCCACTTGGCAGTGGTGGGGAGGCTTGCTAAGAGAGACTCGCTATTTTTATTTCATTGGCGTCTTGTTTCCCGCCTTGAACGGTTGTGCCTTGTGAATCACAAGACAACCATTCACAAGTTGTGAAACTACCTTCCGATTTTATTATTATTTCTTTTATAAAAGTGATAAATGTCCTAACGGCTTTTATTACAATTGTAAAAATTTTAAATTAAATAAAGCTTAGTCTTTCGTTATCTATTATGGAATTCAGGTAATAATTGCGATTATTCATGTTGTTCCTGAACACTTCTTCGTATGGAAGTGTCGACCTAAACGTAAGTTTCGAAAACTAGCAAAACAGGTACGTACCTTTAGCAATAAATTGTATGCACGTGAGTACCATTTTGGACCATGCATTTCTGTCTAGTGTTATTGAAAATTTTTGAGAATATCATTTTGATGTTGATGACCTGATAAATTGTATAGAAATTATGTATGTCTATCAAAGTGTGTCTTCGGATAAAACTCGAGAGCTGTGTTCCCAACAGAACTGTTGGTTAATTCGGTACAGTCTTGGACTGTATATTGCATACGTGGAATTGCTGACGCGATACCCTATGCTATAGCTATGCTCAGAAATTCGGGTGGATTTGTACCACTATATGAACAAAGAACGAAGGTTCTGTTCGAATGTTAATAATATTGCACAGTTTTTTTGTCTGTTGTACCTAATTGTCTTGGGAGATTACTGTGCAAATATAGAAACCGATGTACGTTCCTATAATATAAAATGTTGCTTTGAGATTAAACTTAATAGTGTACTTGATTAAATATTGTGTGCACTTTAACAAGGGGTTTTTGGGAACCCTTCAAGAACTGCTTACATGTGATATGCTACTTCAAAAGTACCCTTTTTCCACAGGGGATTTTAGTAAGTACCTAGTCTTAAGCTTTATTACAGATGGTTTGTGGACATCGTTCTGAGAATCACCAAATGCTAAGAGGACTTCTTGATAAGGCCAATTTGAAGACAATTCCGCCATTATGATATACTAATTTATTCAACGCAGAGAGGTTTACTGCCGCTGTAGAATAAGCTGGTGGCGTGAGAAAATGTTTTTGGCCATTGCAAAAGGTAAATATTACATCCACCTCGCAGGTAGATTCAGTTTCAAGTTTCGCAAGTGTCCCAGGGGCCACAGCCTTACATAGCCCTCGCAGGGTTTGTGCTCAAGTTTTCCAACACATTAATACACATTCGCAATGTGCTAGCAGTATCTCACCTTCGCAAGGTGGTGACAACAGCAATAAACCCGCCTTTGCAAGGTGATGACAACAGCAATAAACCCGCCTTTGCAAGGTGATGACAACAGCAATAAACCCACCTCCGCAAGGTGGTTGTATCATATTCATGCTGTTTTATATATTTTTCGGTCCGAAAAATTGTAATATCTTTCGGAGTTGGTCAAATCCTCGGCAGAATAAAATTAGCAAAGTCAGGGGTGAAGACGTGTTAGCGCACCGTCATAGACGCTGCAGCATTGACAACAACGACGTAAGTATTAACAATAGAGCAGACAGTCTCCTGCAATTGGTAGACCGATGGGAACTTGTGAACGTCAGATTATGAAATAACAAGGTATCGCATACCTTTTTACAAAAACTGTTCCTTGTTCACCCCAATGTTGTCTGAACGAATTTGTTGAACTGGAACATCTGTTCATCAAACATCTGTTCCAGAATCTCTGTCACTCTGTTCAGAAATGACATCAGTCATGAACAAAATAACAGAACCGGCAATTCCGGACCGAGCTACTGAGCAGCCAAGCTTCCTACGATTGATATTTCTGGTCCAAGGGCGCCCGCATCGTCCATTTGGAAATTCAGAATTTATATATCAGTTGACCGATTCGTTAATACACATACGTGTTAACACACATAGTATTTCTCATTTTCTACAACCTGTTGGTCTATGCAAAATCGACATTTCTGGGGCGTAGTGTCATTTACCTGTGGCCCGTAGCCACGGAAGGTTTCTGCGCCTAAATTATCGCAATGAATTGGTACGAATGACTAGCTTATCACTAGGCATGAGCGCAGCGCCCAATACTTTTGCTACGATTGTCTCAGACACTTGGGCAATGAGGTGTCGGGATTTTTTATTGCCACCAGGACGAAGGCCGACTTCCGACTTCGTATTAAACTGGGGCTCTATGTTCTAGAAAAGTTGGTCAATATCAGGGATCCATAGTCAAATCACAAACATTTTCCCGGGAGTAAAAGTTCTGGGATCATTTTGCCATTTAATGGGGAAGAAATGCAAGTCACGCACA